GCCCCCTTTCCCTACCTCCCCCAGTAGCTTCCAAATTAACCCTTCCCTGATCCCAGCCCGGTCAGGGCTGCCCTGAGTGTCTCCAGCTTCTTTTCACCGAGGTCTCTATCAAATCATCAGCCACGCCCTCCGCCGCCCCACCGGGACAGAACTTCCCTTGGTGGTCGATGTCGGTCAGTTTGCATTTGCTTTGCTTTCCTTCCTAAAGGCAGGCAAAGGGCTCATGGCCTTGGGGAAGGCCCACCCTCCCTTCTTCCCCCCTTCCTCCCGGGCTCTCAAAAGGAGCCAGAGCCCAGAGCCGGCCAGCAGGTCTGCAGTGTGGAGGCTGCGCTCTCGCGTTAACCCTTTGCAGGGAGTTAGGTGTGTTCCCATTTGGGACCCACTGAAGCAGGGCCCTTGGGGCTTGGCAATCTCCGTCCACTTCCTGCCGCCCCCACCCCACCCATGTACCCCAAACAGGCGGGCACCGTTTCCTCCCCTGTGGCCAGTTTTAACTATCTATCGCACAAAGTGCTCCAAACCTGGAGTGGGGGTGAGGGGGGATGGTTAGATGACAGGCAGCGAGGGGAAAAGACAGCGGGAGAAAGGAAAGGAAACTCAGTCGCAGATCAGAGTTCAAACACAGTGTTTACTTACGAAATTTGGGGCTGGTGCTGGTCTCCGGCGTGGCGGTGGTGGTAGAGGAGGAAGACGAGGTGGTGGTGGTGGGGGAGGAGGAGGCGGCGACAGCATCCTGAAAGGGAGACAGGGTCCAGGAGGGAGTGGAATCGTGAAGGTAGGAGGAGGTAGCGAATGCCGCAGTGGGCCAGGAGGGCATTGCCTGGGTGCTGGGGGCTCCTGGCGCCGGGGGTCGGGAGCCGGGCGTGCTGCTACTGAAGACAGGGGCCGTGGTGGACAGGACCGTCGAGGGGGCCGCCGTGCTCCGTGCCGTGGTGGAGCGCGGGCTGGCACGAATGGGCACCCGGTGCCCAGGGAAGCGAGTGGGCGCCCGCGTGATGGTGGTCAGGCGGGTGCTAATCCGGTTGGGCGTCCTGGAAGAGGCGGCGCCGCCGGAGGCGGGGGTCGCGGGGGCCGCGGTGGAAGTGGTCGTGGTGGTGGTCTCCATGGCCTTGGGGAAGGAGCTGGGCTTGGAGAGGAAGAAGGGGTCCTGGCCCATCCCCTTGGAGTCCACCAGGTCGGTGGGCACGTATTCCTTGACGGAGCCCACCACGATCCATTTGAGGAGCATCAGGCTGAGCCCGAGGCCGATGAAGCCGATGAGCAGAGGCACCACGCACAGCCACGTCTGCTGCCGGTTCCACACGAAGCAGTCGCTACAGCGTAACTCCCG